GTAGTAGTCGGTAGTAGGGTGTCCAGTGGTAAGGTAGGATTACGGCCTTAGAACATATAAAAAGGTGAATAACCTGCTGTATCATGACGAGATGAATTATAGGCGAACGTCACGTGAGGTAGCGCTAGATCCCAGTCATGATGGTCAGATGAGACATACTGCGAGAGCATGTCCGTGAGGGTGCGATTTAGGCATTCGCTAAGGCCATTTGTTTGAGGGTGGTAGGAAGTGGTAAGTTTGTGTTGCGTTGAGGAAGAGCGCAAAAGGTCGTCGAGTACGTGTCGAGTACGTGCTTTTTACCTTGATGGACCTCCGCGGGCATGGTTCGAGATGCAGGAAGTCAACATTATCAGATGGGACTCATTCAAGGAGAAGACCTGTGACCTTTTTGCGAACACCGCTGCACGACAGATAACTGCGCGAAATCAGTTGGTTACTTGCGCACAGACGTCTACCGAATCCTACGTCGCGTATATTCACGGCGTCGTCGCCCTTTGCCGCCAGGCTGACGAACACATGCCGGAGCCTGAGTTGGTGTCAAATGTGTTTGAAGGCATCGCCGACAATGCCTTCAACCTGCTTGTATACACCAACGTCATCACCATTGACGAAATCATCAAATAGTGCCGGCAGTATGAATACGCCAAGAGCCGCGGTATCACGCAGAAGTTCACATGACTACGCAACACGGCCGCAACTTCATCGTGTGAAGCCGCTCGCCAACCTCCCACCTATAATCACGTCACCTGAATTGTTCGTCAGGAGCTTGAAGCTGCTTGTCCAGATCCCATTCCACAGCCTGTTTGTAAAACTCAAGCAACTGACCCATCAAACCCATTGGTAACGTTAATTCAAGCTGTGGTAAGGCAGGAGTTCGCTAATCTCGGTCTTCTGTCAGCGCGTCCCGTGACTCAACCTGAAGTACGCCCATACCCCTGAGGTAACGCTCGCCGATCTCCTCAATCATTGCCTTTCTGGAACCCTACGCAATGGCGAACCCCTGACGACCAGCCAATCTGCTTTTCCTGTCATGAACGTGGACATATTTCTCGTTATTGCCGTCGCCGCTGGTCCAACACACCACGTCAGAGCTACCCTACTTATATGCGCCCGACCACTTCTGGACGTCCAGCCACTACACCGTCCAACTTTTACTCGCTGCCTCCTCACGAGCCTCTCTCCACTGACGCCTCTTCTTCCGGTCGCCGCTACTCCCACTCCCCGTCGCCGCTACGCCACCAATCCCACCCTCCGCCGCCTCGGCGCTTTTTCTCGCAGAGCTTCTCTGGACAATCGCAGCAAGAAAACTAGATATAGCAGCCTATGGAGGTGAAGCTGCAATACCAACGACGCCCGGAAACCCTCTACTGATGCTACCCAGCATCTCCACCACAAATATGTTACGTAAAATGAGACGAGACGTGACCATTTGGTGGTGTATTCACACCAATAAAATTGGAGCGCAGCACACTGAGCGAGCAAACCAGTCCTCTTCCTTGTCTTCTAGTCACAGTATGGTTCACCCTTCATGCGATAGCTACGTAGTAATATTGTCGTGTTTTCTTCCACTTTTGCTGATCATCTGCAACGCCTAGATGAAGTGCTCACAAGCCTCTCCAATGCTGTACTTCAGCTAAACACAAACAAGTGTCATTTTGGTAATGCACCTACATTGGTTCTGGGACATCTCGTTATTAAAGATGGCATTCAGGCCAATCCCGACAAAATTTACACAGTACTCATGTTTCCGCGCCACTTTCGTTCCAAAAAACTACGCAGTTTCCTTGGACTCGCATTGTACTTTCGCCGCATCATTCGCAACTTTGCCACCATTGCCGCTCCTTTCCACAAGCTGCTTGCTAGTACCGATTCCTTCAATTGGAATGATCAATGCGAAGCCCCATTTAAAGCACTCATTTCAAAAACTCAAGCACGCACTGACAACCCCACCAGTACTTTATTTTGATGACAAGGCACCTACGTTATTACACAATGGTGCCAGCGGACAAGGAATCGACGCCGTACTCCTTCAGCACGACAATGCATTTCGCGAGAAAGTTGTCGCATATGCAAGCCGCGCTCTGACCTCTACAGAAAAGAGTTAACCGATAACCAAACAGGCCTGCTTGGCTGTTGTCTGTTCTGCTAAAAAATTTCGTCTATATGTACATGGTCGACATTTTACTGCTGTGACAGACCACCATGCATTTTGCTGGTTTTCGACAACCTAAACTTGTCGGGGCGACTTGGCTGCTGGATGCTCTGGTTAAAACCATATGACTTTGACGTCATCTACAAACCCGGAAGGAAACACGAAGATGCCGACGCTTTTTCACGACGCCCTTTGCCGCAGTCTTCAGCGCATGTCGCATCCCCTCGTCAAATTGGCTATGCGGAGGACGCCTCGTCGATATCATCCATTTCTTCCCTACTTTCATGTGCCCGTCCTTCAGTACTAACCACTCACCAGCGAGACGATTCTTATTGCACTGGCCTCACCGGTCGGCTTACCGGTGCTTCGTCTTCCTCAAATTCCAGGCTCCGGAAACAACTCCGATTATTCAAGTTGGAGGACGATGCGGTCTATCGATACATTTTCCACCCGGAAGGCCATCGATGGGTTCCCGTTATACCACGCACACTACGCGCTGCAGTTCTACATGCTTCACTCGACGACCCGACGTCAGGCCACTTTGGTTATACTACAAAACCTACGAGCGCCTCCGTAGACGATTCTTTTGCCCAGGTCTTTCCACGACGGTAGCTAAGTGTATTGCCTCGTGCGCACTTTGCCAACACCGCAAGCAGCCCACTACTGCTCCAGTCGAGACCCTACAACCACTTCCTTGCCCAGCAGAGTCGTTCTCTGTCGTCAAAATTGACCTCTTCGAGCCCCTCTCAGCTACATCTGACGGCAAGAAATGGACAGTCACCGCGGTTGTTCACTTGACCTGGTACGCTGAGACGGCCTCGATCACTTCAGGAACTGCGTCAGAAGTAGCAACTTTCTTCTTGAATGCTATTTACCAACGTCACGGGGACCCTCCTGTTCAATTGAGCGACTGAGGCAAGGCATATATTTCAAACACGCTCAGTGAAGTTCTTCAAGCATAAAAACAGTTCATAAAACAACATCTAGCTATCACCCACAAACCAATGACACAGCGTGGAGATTTCGTCGCACGCTGTGCGACATGCTGTCCTTGTATATCGGATCTGACAGTCGCAACTGGGGTGCCATTCTTCCCTTTGTCCCATGTGCATATAATACATCAGTTCAACAGACCACAGGCAATTCTTCATTTTTCCACGGATGCCAGCCGAAATCACCACTTGACGTTTCTTTCATTTCTGGCCCCGTCAACTCTTCACCATACGTTTGCTACTAGTTTCTGTCTTGTGTTACTCAATGCCGTCATTTTGCCCGTGTAAACACCGAAGCCAGCCAAGAAGATCGCAAACGTCGTTATGATGCCACTCGCCGCGTCGTTCTATACCACGCTGGCGACGATGCACTTCTGTGGACTCCTTCATGAACGCCTGGTTTATCGGAGAAGCTTCAGTCACGATATCTTGGCCCGTACAAAGTTGTTGAACAGACTTCACCGGTGAACTACCATCTCACACCTGTTCATGCCCCAACTGACCAGCGCAGCCACCGGAAAGAGATTCTGCACGTTTCGCGTCTCAAGCCCTATCGTATGGGTTACACAGCGTATTTCGCGGCCAGGCTGGCCGCTTCCTACTACGGGGGTAATTAGTGTAAGAATTAATTGGACTGCGTCTTCCTCATCTGTAAATAATCATCAGTCTTCGCGTCGTTCCTCTTTATCATTGGTGCCATCTTGCTGTTGCTTGAATAAAGTGTCAATATAAGTTACAGCATTCATTTGCGTTCGAGAGATGCAGCCCACAACCATGTGCCATCCTGCCCCTGTACGCGATCGATTCTTCTGTTTTTCTTCTCTTCGCAGCGCATCACTTGGTTTCTTGATCTTGACGGCGCACTGCAGAAACTCTTCTAGCATCTTAGAACATGATCGTCAAATAAGATGTTAACTAATCAGCTTGATTTTGTTCATGCTACAAAATACGAGGACCTAAAATAGAACAAGACAGGAGCCACGAACAGCTGGTTTATTGCAAAGGTTACAGGGAAATATAAATCACAGCAATACACAACATATTTTATAATACCTTCAGCAAGAGGCAAATCGCTAGTTAGTCCTGTCTTTTATAATGTGTTCTTCTTTCATCAAATAGAAGGTTTAATTACTGAGTGACTAGCCCGACCACAACATTTTATGAGACACCAACTGTTTGTCTCACATGAGGCCCTATTTCAACGACTGTGTCCGGCGTACTGAAAGTTGTCCGGACATGGTTGTGAGCGTGTGGCACCTTAGCATGTGTGGCACACGCAGACGGCTTGTGGCATCATAGCGTCACCTGTGCGAGAACTTCAGTGACCTTCACTGGGTGTTTTTAGAGAGAACGTTAGTTTGAGAGCACCCTTTCTCGTTTGACAACCAATTCGTAGCTTCACAAGACAACCAACTCGTAGCTTCACAAGTCAAGATTTGTTTTTCTTGCTCACAATAGGTTGAAAGCCAAAACTTCTGCTCCAACTGGCCGAGCCCAAAAACGCCTTCGTGATACTCGACTCATTGAGCTACATTATCTTTTGTAATCTGGTGATCAATCACGCATAATAAAATGTTGCTAGTGAGCGATGCGTTGGGCGTGTGCTTCTTTAGTGAATGCGTTCGCTACTTTGAGAGTGTTATCGGATAGATTAACCGGCCACACCAAGTACCCAAAGAAGGTCATTCCTGGTAAACTGAAGGTTTCGGGGTTGTCAATGCCCTCTGAAAACAGTTCTTCTTCTACGCTTAGCACGTAGAAACCTTGACGTGACGCGTATGCCGCTTAAGTCTAGCTTGTATTTCTGATATAACCGTACGGAAACTTTGACCGAAAGTGTTTGCATATCTTCGCAGAGATACGCTGCGGTCACCTGAGGCCACCTATGTACGGGTTGGTGGTACCAGTGGGTGGTAATTACTCCACAGCTGTAGGCACCACACTTGTGTTCAGCTGCTTTCAAGGGTACACGCTGCTGGGTTCGAACAGACGCACGTGTGGTTTAAAAGGCCTATGGGATGGCGAGCCGGCACGCTGCATTTCCAATGGTAAGTGACCCAATTCATGCTGTGTGGCGGTTACTTTCATAATGCAGTTACATTTTATATCCTAACTGTTGGAGCTTTCGTGGAGAGGTGCTCCATTCTTTGATGAACCTTTCGATTCCACCCTGCTAGGTGTGGATTACTTCGATGTCCTGTAATAAACTTTGCTTCCTACGTCTCATAGCCTCTATGCTACTATGTCCACAATCTGATAGGTCACTTTGTAACTTCGATTGGAAGGCCAATAAACACGCTTAGATGTCTCGCCTAAAAAACTAAAGCATATGACACTTTGAAAACTATTCGCACAGTCCTTCACCTCTTGTTGCCCTGTCATACGCAATTCAAATAATACCGCTTGCGCTCTCAGTCCTCAAATTGTAACAAATGTAGCAGCCTCAAAACAACAATGTTCTATTTACACGGTTTATTAAGGGCGAATTTGTGCCCAAAGTGAACGACGCACAGCAATCAAGAAGATCCAAGGGCGGTAGTCCTCGTGAGCGTCTGCCTCGAGCACCCTCGTTCTCTTCTTCACGCGCGTTGGCTGTTCGGCGGAGTACCGGGCGCATGCAGGGCCGGCTCGTGCATTGCGGCTGGCTTCGTCGCTCATAGTCGTGCCGTTAGCGTTTCTCTGGTTCCCAACGTACGCGTTGCGCGGAGCAATGGTTATTTCCTGTGGCATTATCCCCCCTCTCAAGAGGCATCACCCCAATGCTTTCGATGATAATGTATGCAGCGTTTCCGTCTCGGAAGGTTTGTGAGAGGGAAATGGTTGTACAGCAAGCAAGTGGGGTGGCTAGTCTTCGTACCGGTCGTAGTACGGTTTCTAGCGCACAATGCGTACACGCTCGGTGGGATTGCGTCATTTAGAATGCCCATGTCCTGTAGGCTTGATTTCATAAACGAGGTCGCTGAGTCACTGTACTACCTCGTAAGGACCGAAATATCGACAAATGAGTTTTTCAGACAGGCCTCGTCGTCGTACGTGGGTCCAATTCACACTTTGTCACCAACTTCATATCGTGTTTCACGTCTTCCTCGGTTTGTAGCGGTCAGCATCGATTCGTTGTTGGTGACATATTCGGTACCTTGCTAATTGGCGGGCCTCCTCCGCTCTCTCTATATAGTCATCGAGATCAGAAGGGTAGTCATCTTGATCTATAGGTAACATAGCGTCCAGTGTTGTGGTAACTACACGACCGTTAACTAGTTGAAACGGGGTAATCTTGGCAGTATCTTGTACGGCGGTGTTATAGGCGAAGGTGACGCATGGTAAAATTTCGTCCCACTTTTTGTGTTTGACGTCCACATACATAGATATCATGTCAGCTAGAGTTCTGTTAAGGCGTTCAGTGAGGCCGTTGCTTTGAGGGTGATATGCGGTAGTTTTCCTGTGAATAGTGTGGGTCATGTTCAGCAGGCATTTCATGAGTTCCGCCGTGAAAGCCGGTCCGCGATCGGTGATTGCAACAGTTGGAGCGCCATACCGTAGCACTATGCTCTGTACAAAGAATTTGGCGACCTCAGCTGCCGTTCCTCGATGCAAGGAGTCTGTTTCCGCGTATCTCGTTAAATAATCAGTCGCTACAACGATCCACTTCTTGCCAAGTAAAGATGTCGAGAAAGGTCCAAGGAGGTCCACTCCAACTTGTTGGAAGGGTGCTTTCTTTGGGTCTATCGGATGCAGAATAAAACTTCAATAAAACTTGTAGCTGGGCGAGTTGGTTCATAATACTGGGTAAACTGGTGTGCGCACAAAAAAACAGACAAACGACAGCAGAGAAGAGACAGGGACAAGCGCAGACTTTCAACTAAATTTAATTCTTCGTCAACCTTCAATTTACAGTCGCACAGAACATAGTCAAGTGGTCACGAGGACAGAACCTAATAGTTTACAAAAGGCCACGCAAAAAATGACGCTCACTATCAAAAAGCGAAATGGATGTATCACTAACACAGGTATTGCCTCTAGCAGAAATATAAAACGCTTCCATCAGTTCCGGGCTGTGGTATCAGCACTCCGACCCAAAATCCTAATCTCCGAGAAAATCGGTGAGCACGTGCAAGCTTTGCAATGCGCGGGCAAATGCGTGATCCCGTTATTTTTAAGTGACAGCTCATGTTCCCTTGCACGGTCGTTCACGCAACGCCCCGTATGACCCACGTAAAATTTGCAGAAGGCCCGCTGCAGAAGGCCCGCTGGCTTAGCACGAGGCGCTTTCCGTCTTTGGCACTCGCGGCATGTTCTGACATAGCGCTGTACTGAAGTGCTGATAATAGTGCTGACTGATTCGTGCAAGCGTTCGAGTGACCCCCAAATGTCCAGACGTAGGCTCATCTTGGCACGCTTGTAATATTTCTTGCCGCATAGTTGCGGGAACGACAAGCAGAAACTTTTCACGGTTGGGCTTAAAGTTTCTCTTGTAGAGGACATTTCTTTGGAGGCAGAACGATGCGAGGCTTCGAGAAAGTATACGAGGTACTTGTACGCCAGCTCCTTTCAGGTGTTTGATGAGCGGGAGCAATTCTTTACCCGCATGTTGAATTTCAGCTATCTGAGAAGTCTCGACAACAGCCACGAATTGAAAGTGCTCTTCATCTGATAGTGCTGTGTCTGCAGGTGCCCGTGACAAAGAGTCGGCGTCGGTATGCTACCTGCCAGATCGGTATACCACAGTTATGTCAAATTCTTGCAGTCTGAGGCTCCACCTTCCTAGTTGTCCGGACGGGTCCTTGAGGTTGCCGAGCCAGCAAAGGGCATGGTTATCGCTGACTGACTTGAATGGTCTACCATACAAGTAAGGCCGAAACTTACTGATGGTCCAGATGACGGCAAGGTATTCTTTCTCTGTGGCCGAATGATTTGTCTCCGCCTTTGTTAGAGTCCGGCTGGCGTATGCTATCACCTTTTCTTCGCCATTCAGCCAATGTATTAGGATGCATCCTAGGCCGATGTTGCTAGCGTCTGTGTGTATTTTCTTGTCAGCTGTTTCATCGAAATGAGAAAGGATTGGGGGCTCTTGCAACCGTTTTCTTAATTCGTTGAATGCGCTGTGTTGCTTTGTTTCCCACTGGAAAGGTACATCTTCTCTCTGAAGTTTCGTCAAGAGTACTGCAATCTGCGAGAAATTTCTGACAAATCGTCGGTAGTAAGCACAGAGACCTAGAAATCTCCGTACTGACCTTTTATCTGCTATCACCGGTAACCTTGTAACGGTGGCTGTCTTTTCGGGAACAGGGCGCACACCGTGGGCGCTGACAACGTGCCAAAGGAATCAAAGCTCTTCGAAACCGAATTGGCACTTCTCTGGCTTGATGTGTAAATCTGCCGAAGGGATTGCTTCTAACAATGTTCGCAGGCGCTTGATATGCTCCTCGAATGTAGCGGCGAAGATGACCACGTCGTCAAAGTACACTAAGCAACACTGCCGCTTTGATCCGGAAAGTACAGTGTCGATCATGCGTTGGAACTTTGCCGGCGCACAACAGAGACCAAAAGGGAGAGCCTTGAATTCACAGAGTCCGTCCGGCGTAACAAAAGCAGTCTTCTCGCGATCGCGTTCACCAACTTCGATCTGCCAGTATCCACTTTTCACATCTAGTGATGAAAAGAACTTGGCACACCAAAGTCTGTCTAATGTGTCGTCAATACGCTGGAGGGGATATACATCCCGTTTAGTCACAGCATTTAATTTCCGGTAGTCAACGCAAAACCTTAGCGTGTTACCCTTTTTCTTGACAAGTACTACAAAAGATGCCCACGGACTGCTAGAAGGTTGAATAACATCATCTTCAAGCATCTCCTGTACTTGATTCTTGATGACTTCCCTTTCTTTTGGTGAAACGCGGTACGGGTGCTGGCGTACCGGCCTGGTTGTCTCGTCTGTTATGATCCTGTGTTTCGCAATGGTTGTGCGTCGTACCTTTAAACTATTGGAGAAACAGCTGCCAAATTCTTGTACAAGGTCGTATAGCTGTTGACGTTGGATCACTGAAAGATTGGGATTTACGGATATTACGTCGTAGACATCAGATGTTGGTTTCGTATCTGTTGACGTTGTTTCAAGGCTGCATATTTCTGTGGCCTTACAAACCTCATGAAGAAAGGCTATGGCTGTCCCCTTTGCTATGTGCTAGAATTCGTTCCCAAAATTTGTCAGGAGGATGTCTGCGTACCCGTTTCATAGCTGGATAATCCCTCGTGCCACACAACACCTTTTTTCAGGAAAACATTCATGCTGCTGTCTGCCACACCTTCGTAGTCACCAAACGTATCATTTCTGACTAGAACCATTACACTGCTCTGCGGTGGTACAGTGATATCATCATCGACGATGCGCAGTGGAATGGTGTATTGCTCGTCTGCTCGAGCTACCTTAATAGCTTGTTCCGTCGAAAATGATACGCTGGACCTCAGCAAATTAATAATGGCACCATTTGCTTGCCGAAAAATTATTCTGAGTATAACTTTTCTCGAACATACGGGCAGGACAACGAAGTCACCAACGTAAGTGAAACCTCGTATCTCAACTCTTGCGGCGCATCTGCCGATAGGCGTAATAAGGTGACCGCATGCCGTACGTACTTGAGGTCCACTCCATTCGGTCAGAACTTTCCCGAGGCACTTCGCTAAATCGTAGCTTATCACATAGTAATCCGCACCGGTATCGATTGGAGCTTCTAGCCCGTTAATTACTAACGGCAAGTCTGAAGTTATCTTTTCATTACTGCACTTCTTTATCTGGAGACAGTCGTCGTCGTCGTCACGCTGGTGTCGCAGTGGAGAATCTTCGTATTTCGAATCACCAGCGGCCTCGCCTCCACAGGTCACCCACTTCAGTTTCCCGGGTTGGATTAGGCGAACGATGCCTAGGTGTGTTTGGAAAGAACGTGGGCTTGGCGTGCGCTGACGTAGATGGGATGGTGACCGCGGTTGGTGACGACAATGCAGGTCGAAGCTCTGACGTGAGCACAGGTATTCCTCCATGTCGGACGGCCTT